GGTTTTCCCCTCCACATTTAGAATCAATGTCACCACCACCACCACCATGCGTTCAGAGGATTTGGCTGCTGCTCTATGGTTCTATCTTGGTCTCTGTGGGTCTCTGTGGGTCTCTGTGAGTCTCTGTGGGTCTCTGTGGGTCTCTGTGGGTCTCTGTGGGTCTCTGTGGGTCTCTGTGGGTCTCTGTGGCTCTCTGTGGGTCTCTGTGGGTCTCTATGGGTCTCTGTGGGTCTCTGTGGGTCTCTGTGGGTCTCTGTGGGTCTCTGTGGGTCTCTGTGGGTCTCTGTGGCTCTCTATGGGTCTCTGTGGGTCTCTGTGGGTCTCTGTGGGTCTCTGTGGGTCTCTGTGAGTCTCTGTGGGTCTCTGTGGGTCTCTGTGGGTCTCTGTGGGTCTCTGTGGGTCTCTGTGGCTCTCTGTGGGTCTCTGTGGGTCTCTATGGGTCTCTGTGGGTCTCTGTGGGTCTCTGGTGTCTCTGGTGTCTCTGTGGCTCTCTGTGGGTCTCTGTGGGTCTCTGTGGGTCTCTATGGGTCTCTGTGGGTCTCTGTGGGTCTCTATGGGTCTCTGTGGGTCTCTATGGGTCTCTGTGGGTCTCTATGGGTCTCTGTGGGTCTCTGTGGGTCTCTGTGGGTCTCTGTGGGTCTCTGTGGGTCTCTGTGGGTCTCTGTGGGTCTCTGTGGGTCTCTGTGAGTCTCTGTGGGTCTCTGTGGGTCTCTGTGAGTCTCTGTGGGTCTCTATGGGTCTCTGTGGGTCTCTGTGGGTCTCTGTGGGTCTCTGTGGGTCTCTGTGGGTCTCTGTGGGTCTCTCTGCGTTCAGAGGATTTGGCTGCTGCTGTGAATGTCCACGTGGTGGTGATGACGACATCAGCCACGTGGTGATGATGATGATGACGACATCAGCCACGTGATGATGATGATGGCGGCCACGTGGTGATGATGATGACATCAGCCACGTGGTGATGATGATGACGACATCAGCCACGTGGTGATAATGATGACGACATCAGCCACGTGGTGGTGATGATGATGACGACATCAGCCACGTGGTGGTGATGATGACATCAGCCACGTGGTGATGATGATGACATCAGCCACGTGGTGATGATGATGACATCAGCCACGTGGTGATGATGATGACATCAGCCACGTGGTGATGATGATGATGATATCAGCCACGTGGTGATGATGATGATGACATCAGCCACGTGGTGATGATGACAACATCAGCCACGTGGTGATGATGAGACATCAGCCACGTGGTGATGATGATAATGACATCAGCCACGTGGTGATGATATCAACCACGTGGTGATGATGATGATGATATCAACCACGTGGTGGTGGTGATGATGACATCAGCCACGTGGTGGTGAGCTGCTATCATTGATGGCCACGCCCCCTGTCTGATAGGAGATCTCCACAGCAGCTCAGTGGGGCCTCACCTGGCCACGTGCAAATAGTTTAGTTTGAGACTCTCTATGAATCTGTCTCTCTATGGGTCTATGAATCTGCGTGTGTCTATGGGTATCTATGCATCTCTATGCATCTGTGTCTATGGATCTCTGTGTATATCTATGCATCTCTGGGTCTATGGGTCTCTTAACCAAGCTGGATTGGTTAAAAAGTCTCATCGGTGAGCTCCTCCGGCAGGCAAAGCTGCGTTGGTTGGGCCATGTAGCCCGCCACCGCATGAATGAGGGGTGTGTGGGCGAGTGAGCGGGTGGATGAGCGAGTGGGTGAGTGGTTGTTTGAGTGAGTGGGTGGGCGAGTGGGTGAGTGAGTGGTTGAGTTGTTGGGTGGGTGAGTGGGTGACATTCCCATCAGTGAGCTCCTCTGGCAGACAAGGCTGCGTTGGCTGGGTCATGTAGCCCACATGCCCAGCCACCGCATACCCAAACAGCTTTTGTTCGGCTGGATCGAAGGGGCCTAAACGGGCGCGGGCACGGGCTAGAGAAGAGATGGAGTGATGTGGTACAGGAGGACGTGGAGCTGAGTGGACTTGCCGATGACCGGTACCAGCGGTGTCAAGATCGGCCTCTGTGGAGGAGGCTCGTGAAGGACGCCGCATACTGGGCAGTTGGAGGCAGTCGCCCCTCCAACAACAACGGAGGGCGGAGGAGCGACGCTCACAACAACGAGCGGAGCGCCGGGTGGCTAAAGCACAGCAGATTGGCACAGTAGAGGGCACACGTGGTGCATCAGCCACTCATTTCAGTCATCTCGCTCAGTCGACCCGTGGCACCTGCTGGGTCTGCCCCGTAACCTCCTGCCCGCGGGCGTTCGACACTTCACGTGGCCTCAAGGTGCACCTAGCCTGGCACAAGCGTCGTGGTGACATCACCGCCACTTGGTGGCGAATGGCGGTGGTTGTTGTTGTTGTACATCAGAGCGAGAATCTGAACACAGAAAAACTCTTTATTAACCACAATGCATGTCTCTCTACAGGAATATACAATACCACTCTCTCTCACTCTTAGAACACCGCTCATTGTCGATTTAAAACTCACTTCAGGTTTAAAATAATTTCTGTACAACTGCTTCTCGTCGTCGTTTTTGTGTTGTTAAGTTTGTTGTTGTTTGTTGTTGTGTTTGTTGTTGTTGTGTTAGTTTGTTGTTGTGTTTGTTGTTAAGTTTGTTGTTGTGTTTGTTGTTAAGTTTGTTGTTGTTGTGTTAGTTTGTTGTTGTGTTAGTTTGTTGTTTTTGTTGTTAAGTTTGTTGTTGTTGTGTTTGTTAAGTTTGTTGTTGTTGTGTTAGTTTGTTGTTGTGTTAGTTGTTAAGTTTTTGTTGTTGTTAGTTGTTTTTGTTGTGTTAGTTGTTTTTGTTGTTGTGTTTGTTGTTAAGTTTGTTGTTGTGTTTGTTTGTTGTTGTTAAGTTTGTTGTTGTTAAGTTGTTGTCCTTCCCGCACACCTCCGATTAGCGCGGTTGGCTACGTATGGTGCGAAAGAAGTTCACACTACACACAATTACATATAGTACACACACTACACAAATTAACACACTCTGCACGTTACACACACATTTACACATTACACACACTCTGCACATTACACATACATTTACACACTACACATTAACACACACTACACACACACATTAACACACACTACACATACATTACATACATTTACACACATATTACACATTACACTCTGCACATTACACACTACAATTTACACACTCTGCACATTTCTACACACATACTAGACACACTCATTATACATTACACACACATTTACATTTTACACTCATTACACACATTTACACACTCTGCACATTACACACATTTACACACACTACAATTTACACACACTACAGATACACACACTACAGTACACATTACACACTACACATCACACACACTACATATTACACAAACTACACTACAGTACACATTACACACTACACATCACACACTACACTACACACACTACAGTACACATTACACTGCACATTACACACACTACACTACACCATTACACACTACACACCCTCTGACACCATCTCTCTCTCGGATGAGTGGAAAGTCTCAGGGCTCAGCGCTACCCCTGGAGAGAGAACAGTGACAGAGACAAAGCTCCCCCAGGTAGCCTCTGGCAGGGCTGTAGGGGCAAGTGCTGTTAGCTAGCGAGTAGCAGCGTCTATGTACTACACACACCACACACAGACAAAGCTCCCCCAGGTAGCCTCTGGCAGGGCTGTAGGGGCAAGTGCTGCTAGTAGCGAGTAGCAGCACCTATGATGCACACACAGAGACAAAGCTTCCCCCAGGTAGCCTCTGGCAGGGCTGTAGGGGCAAGTGCTGCTGGTAGCGAGCAGCACCAGCTGCGCCTGTGAAGGCTACCGGCACTGTGGCACACAGAGGGGGTGGGTGGCCAACACCACGCACGGCCACCTTTGTCTCTCTCCAGTGAGGAGTGTGTATGTGTGTGTATGTGTGTGTGTATGTGAGTGTATGTGTGAGTGTATATGTATGTGTGCGTGTGTAATGGAACATCTTCGCCAGTTAGAAACATTTAGGCTGGCCTGCCTACGATCCATCCTGGGTTTAACCAGACTGGATTGTGTGAGGAGCTCACAAATCCTTGAAAGATCTGGGCAGGGTCCCATCGGTGAGCTCCTCCGGCAGGCAAGGCTGCGATGGCTGGGTCATGTAGCCCGCATGCCCAGCCACCGCATGCCGAAACAGCTTTTGTTTGGCCGGATTGAGGGGGCTAAGCGGGCGCGGCACGGGCTAGAGAAGAGATGGAGTGATGTGGTACAGGAGGACGTGGAGCTGAGTGGACTTGCCGATGACTGGTACCAGCGGTGTCAAGATCGGCCTCTGTGGAGGAGGCTCGTGAAGGACGCTACTGGGCAGTTGGAGGCAGTCGCCCTCCAACAACAACGGAGGGCGGAGGAGCGACGCTCACAACAACGAGCGGAGCACCGGGTGGCTAAAGCACAGCAGGTTGGCACAGTAGGGGGCACAGGTGGTGCATCAGCCAGTCATCTCAGTCAGTCGACCTGTGGCACCTGGGTCTGCCCGTGACCTCCTGCCAGCGGGCGTTCGACACTTCATGTGGCCTCAGGGTGCACATAGCCTGGCACAAGCGTCGTGGTGATGTTACCGCCACTTAGTGGCGAATGGCGGTTGTTGTTGTTATGTTATGTGTGTGTATGTATGTGTATGAGTGTCTGTGTATGAATGTGTATGTATGAGTGTGTGTATGTATGTGTATGAGTGTGTGTATGTATGTGTATGAATGTGTGTATGAGTGTATGAATGTGTGTGTATGAGTGTGTGTAGGTATGTGTATGAGTGTGTGTATGTATGTGTATGAATGTGTGTGTATGAGTGTATGAATGTGTGTGTATGAGTGTATGAATGTGTGTGTATGAGTGTGTGTATGTATGTGTATGAGTGTGTGTATGTATGTGTATGAGTGTGTGTATGAATGTGTGTGTATGTGTGTGTGTATGAATGTGTGTGTATGTATGTATGAGTGTATATGTGTGTGTGTATGAATGTGTGTGTATGAGTGTGTATGTATGTGTGTGTGTATGAATGTGTGTGTATGTATGAGTGTATATGTGTGTGTGTATGAATGTGTGTGTATGAGTGTGTGTGTGTATGTGTGTGTGTATGCGAGTCTAAGATAATAAAGTGATGAGCGCGTCCAGGAATTTCCCTCGATCCTCAGTTTTCAGCTCCACAACTGCAGGGAGAAAAAGAGCGTGGTGAGTCTGTGTGGTGGTGAGTCTGTGTGGTGGTGAGTCTGTGTGGTGAGTCTGTGTGGTGAGTCTGTGTGGTGGTGAGTCTGTGTGGTGGTGAGTCTGTGTGGTGAGTCTGTGTGGTGGTGAGTCTGTGTGGTGGTGAGTCTGTGTGGTGAGTCCTGTGTGGTGGTGAGTCTGTGTGGTGGTGAGTCTGTGTGGTGGTGAGTCTGTGTGGTGGTGAGTCTGTGTGGTGGTGAGTCTGTGTGGTGGTGAGTCTGTGTGGTGGTGAGTCTGTGTGGTGGTGAGTCTGTGTGGTGGTGAGTCTGTGTGGTGGTGAGTCTGTGTGGTGGTGAGTCTGTGTGGTGGTGAGTCTGTGTGGTGGTGAGTCTGTGTGGTGGTGAGTCTGTGTGGTGGTGAGTCTGTGTGGTGAGTCTGTGTGGTGGTGAGTCTGTGTGGTGGTGAGTCTGTGTGGTGAGTCTGTGTGGTGGTGAGTCTGTGTGGTGGTGAGTCTGTGTGGTGGTGAGTCTGTGTGGTGAGTCTGTGTGGTGGTGAGTCTGTGTGGTGGTGAGTCTGTGTGGTGGTGAGTCTGTGTGGTGGTGAGTCTGTGTGGTGGTGAGTCTGTGTGGTGGTGAGTCTGTGTGGTGAGTCTGTGTGGTGGTGAGTCTGTGTGGTGAGTCTGTGTGGTGAGTCTGTGTGGTGAGTCTGTGTGGTGAGTCTGTGTGGTGGTGAGTCTGTGTGGTGGTGAGTGTGTGTGGTGGTGAGTCTGTGTGGTGGTGAGTCTGTGTGGTGGTGAGTCTGTGTGGTGAGTCTGTGTGGTGGTGAGTCTGTGTGGTGGTGAGTCTGTGTGGTGAGTCTGTGTGGTGAGTCTGTGTGGTGGTGAGTCTGTGTGGTGAGTCTGTGTGGTGGTGAGTCTGTGTGGTGGTGAGTCTGTGTGGTGAGTCTGTGTGGTGGTGAGTCTGTGTGGTGAGTCTGTGTGGTGAGTCTGTGTGGTGAGTCTGTGTGGTGGTGAGTGTGTGTGGTGGTGAGTCTGTGTGGTGGTGAGTCTGCGTGGTGGTGAGTCTGCGTGGTGGTGAGTCTGTGTGGTGGTGAGTCTGTGTGGTGGTGAGTCTGTGTGGTGGTGAGTCTGTGTGGTGGTGAGTCTGTGTGGTGGTGAGTCTGTGTGGTGGTGAGTCTGTGTGGTGGTGAGTCTGTGTGGTGGTGAGTGTGTGTGGTGGTGAGTCTGTGTGGTGGTGAGTCTGTGTGGGTGGTGAGTCTGTGTGGTGGTGAGTGTGTGTGGTGGTGAGTCTGTGTGGTGGTGAGTCTGTGTGGTGGTGAGTGTGTGTGGTGGTGAGTCTGTGTGGTGGTGAGTCTGTGTGGTGGTGAGTCTGTGTGGTGAGTCTGTGTGGTGGTGAGTGTGTGTGGTGGTGAGTCTGTGTGGTGGTGAGTCTGTGTGGTGGTGAGTCTGTGTGGTGAGTCTGTGTGGTGAGTCTGTGTGGTGAGTCTGTGTGGTGGTGAGTCTGTGTGGTGGTGAGTCTGTGTGGTGGTGAGTCTGTGTGGTGAGTCTGTGTGGTGAGTCTGTGTGGTGAGTCTGTGTGGTGGTGAGTCTGTGTGGTGAGTCTGTGAGGTGGTGAGTCTGTGTGGTGGTGAGTCTGTGTGGTGGTGAGTCTGTGTGGTGGTGAGTCTGTGTGGTGGTGAGTCTGTGTGGTTAGTCTGTGTGGTGGTGAGTCTGTGTGGTGGTGAGTCTGTGTGGTGAGTCTGTGTGGTGAGTCTGTGTGGTGAGTCTGTGTGGTGGTGAGTCTGTGTGGTGGTGAGTCTGTGTGGTGAGTCTGTGTGGTGAGTCTGTGTGGTGAGTCTGTGTGGTGGTGAGTCTGTGTGGTGAGTCTGTGTGGTGGTGAGTCTGTGTGGTGAGTCTGTGTGGTGGTGAGTCTGTGTGGTGGTGAGTCTGTGTGGTGGTGAGTCTGTGTGGTTAGTCTGTGTGGTGGTGAGTCTGTGTGGTGGTGAGTCTGTGTGGTGGTGAGTCTGTGTGGTGAGTCTGTGTGGTGGTGAGTCTGTGTGGTGGTGAGTCTGTGTGGTGAGTCTGTGTGGTGGTGAGTTTGTGTGGTGGTGAGTCTGTGTGGTGGTGAGTTCTGCGTGGTGAGTCTGCGTGGTGGTGAGTCTGCGTGGTGGTGAGTCTGTGTGGTGGTGAGTCTGTGTGGTGGTGAGTCTGTGTGGTGGTGAGTCTGTGTGGTGGTGAGTCTGTGTGGTGGTGAGTCTGTGTGGTGGTGAGTCTGTGTGGTTAGTCTGTGTGGTGGTGAGTCTGTGTGGTGGTGAGTCTGTGTGGTGGTGAGTCTGTGTGGTGAGTCTGTGTGGTGGTGAGTCTGTGTGGTGAGTCTGTGTGGTGGTGAGTTTGTGTGGTGGTGAGTCTGTGTGGTGGTGAGTCTGCGTGGTGAGTCTGTGTGGTGGTGAGTCTGCGTGGTGGTGAGTCTGCGTGGTGGTGAGTCTGTGTGGTGGTGAGTCTGTGTGGTGGTGAGTCTGTGTGGTGGTGAGTCTGTGTGGTGGTGAGTCTGTGTGGTGGTGAGTCTGTGTGGTGGTGAGTCTGTGTGGTGGTGAGTCTGTGTGGTGGTGAGTCTGTGTGGTGGTGAGTCTGTGTGGTGATGAGTCTCTGTGTGTCTGTGTGGTGAGTCTGTGTGGTGAGTCTCTGTGTGGTGGTGGTGAGTCTGTGTGGTGGTGAGTCTGTGTGGTGGTGAGTCTGTGTGGTGGTGAGTCTGTGTGGTGGTGAGTGTGTGTGGTGGTGAGTCTGTGTGGTGGTGAGTCTGCGTGGTGGTGAGTCTGTGTGGTGGTGAGTCTGTGTGGTGGTGAGTCTGTGTGGTGGTGAGTCTGTGTGGTGAGTCTGTGTGGTGAGTCTGTGTGGTGGTGAGTCTGTGTGGTGGTGAGTCTGTGTGGTGGTGAGTCTGTGTGGTGGTGAGTCTGTGTGGTGAGTCTGTGTGGTGGTGAGTCTGTGTGGTGGTGAGTCTGTGTGGTGGTGAGTCTGTGTGGTGGTGAGTCTGTGTGGTTAGTCTGTGTGGTGGTGAGTCTGTGTGGTGGTGAGTCTGTGTGGTGGTGAGTCTGTGTGGTGGTGAGTCTGTGTGGTGAGTCTGTGTGGTGGTGAGTTTGTGTGGTGGTGAGTGTGTGTGGTGGTGAGTCTGCGTGGTGAGTCTGCGTGGTGGTGAGTCTGCGTGGTGGTGAGTCTGCGTGGTGGTGAGTCTGTGTGGTGGTGAGTCTGTGTGGTGGTGAGTCTGTGTGGTGGTGAGTCTGTGTGGTGGTGAGTCTGTGTGTGGTGAGTCTGTGTGTGGTGAGTCTGTGTGGTGGTGAGTCTGTGTGGTGGTGAGTCTGCGTGGTGGTGAGTCTGCGTGGTGGTGAGTCTGTGTGGTGGTGAGTCTGTGTGGTGGTGAGTCTGTGTGGTGGTGAGTCTGTGTGGTGAGTCTGTGTGGTGGTGAGTCTGTGTGGTGGTGAGTCTGTGTGGTGGTGAGTCTGTGTGGTGGTGAGTCTGTGTGGTGGTGAGTCTGTGTGGTGGTGAGTCTGTGTGGTGGTGAGTCTGTGTGGTGGTGAGTCTGTGTGGTGGTGAGTCTGTGTGGTGAGTGAGTCTGTGTGGTGGTGAGTCTGTGTGGTGGTGAGTCTGTGTGGTGAGTCTGTGTGGTGAGTCTGTGTGGTGGTGAGTCTGTGTGGTGGTGAGTCTGTGTGGTGGTGAGTCTGTGTGGTGGTGAGTGTGCGTGGTGGTGAGTCTGCGTGGTGGTGAGTCTGCGTGGTGGTGAGTCTGCGTGGTGGTGAGTCTGTGTGGTGGTGAGTCTGTGTGGTGGTGAGTCTGTGTGGTGGTGAGTCTGTGTGGTGGTGAGTCTGTGTGGTGAGTCTGTGTGGTGGTGAGTCTGTGTGGTGGTGAGTCTGTGTGGTGGTGAGTCTGTGTGGTGGTGAGTCTGTGTGGTGGTGAGTCTGTGTGGTGAGTCTGTGTGGTGGTGAGTCTGTGTTGTGGTGAGTCTGTGTGGTGGTGAGTCTGTGTGGTGGTGAGTCTGTGTGGTGGTGAGTCTGTGTGGTGGTGAGTCTGCGTGGTGGTGAGTCTGTGTGGTGGTGAGTCTGTGTGGTGGTGAGTCTGTGTGGTGAGTGAGTCTGTGTGGTGGTGAGTCTGTGTGGTGGTGAGTCTGTGTGGTGAGTCTGTGTGGTGGTGAGTCTGTGTGGTGAGTCTGTGTGGTGGTGAGTCTGTGTGGTGGTGAGTCTGTGTGGTGGTGAGTCTGCGTGGTGGTGAGTCTGCGTGGTGGTGAGTCTGTGTGGTGGTGAGTCTGTGTGGTGGTGAGTCTGTGTGGTGGTGAGTCTGTGTGGTGAGTCTGTGTGGTGGTGAGTCCTGTGTGGTGGTGAGTCTGTGTTGTGGTGAGTCTGTGTGGTGGTGAGTCTGTGTGGTGGTGAGTCTGTGTGGTGGTGAGTCTGTGTGGTGGTGAGTCTGCGTGTGGTGAGTCTGTGTGGTGGTGAGTCTGCGTGGTGGTGAGTCTGCGTGGTGGTGAGTCTGCGTGGTGGTGAGTCTGTGTGGTGGTGTGCGTGGTGGTGAGTCTGTGTGGTGGTGAGTCTGTGTGGTGAGTCTGTGTGGTGAGTCTGTGTGGTGGTGAGTCTGTGTGGTGGTGAGTCTGTGTGGTGGTGAGTCTGTGTGGTGGTGTGCGTGGTGGTGAGTCTGTGTGGTGGTGAGTCTGTGTGGTGAGTCTGTGTGGTGAGTCTGTGTGGTGGTGAGTCTGTGTGGTGGTGAGTCTGCGTGGTGGTGAGTCTGCGTGGTGGTGAGTCTGCGTGGTGGTGAGTCTGTGTGGTGGTGAGTCTGTGTGGTGGTGAGTCTGGGTGGTGGTGAGTCTGTGTGGTGGTGAGTCTGCGTGGTGGTGAGTCTGTGTGGTGGTGAGTCTGTGTGGTGGTGAGTCTGTGTGGTGAGTCTGTGTGGTGGTGAGTCTGTGTGGTGGTGAGTCTGTGTGGTGGTGAGTCTGTGTGGTGGTGTGTGTGGTGGTGAGTCTGTGTGGTGGTGAGTCTGTGTGGTGAG